GTCATACCTTCCACCACGCCTCTCTCCTATACATACTGCTTCCTTGCATACCCACTGTACTCCTCTCCACCACATACTGCCCGCTGTCATACCTTCCACACACACGCTTCCTTGCATACCCACGGTACTCCTACCACACCCGCTGTCATACCTTCCACACGCGCTCTCCCATACATACTGCTTCCTTGCATACATACCCACTGCTGTCATACTCCACACGCCTCTCCTACATACTGCACACCCACTGTACTCCTCTCCTGTGCGTACTGCCCGCTGTCATACCTTCCACACGCCTCTCCTATACATACTGCTTCCTTGCATACCCACGGTACTCCTCTCCACCACATACTGCCCGCTGTCATACCTTCCATACTCCACTTCTGCACATAATGCCCGCTGTCATACCTTCCACACTTCTCGCCTGTACACACTGCCCATTGTCTATGCCTTCCCCTCCTTCATATACTGCCTAAGGTCTTACTCTTCACATTGCACCCATACACATACCGCCCTCTGTCATATCACCATGCATGCCCCTCTTGCATATACTACACACTCCCATACCCTCCGCACGCCTCTCCTACACATATTGTCTGCTGTCACACCCCTGCACTCCTCTACTGTACAGACTTCTCACTGCCATACCCCCTGCACTCCTCTTGTGTATATATTGCCCATTGTCATACCTTTCACATTCCACCCATGCACATACTGTCCATCCTTCCTGCACATACTGCTCACTCCCATACCCTCTGCCCTCCTCTCCTACACATACTGTTGACTGTCATACCTTCTGCACTCCTATCCTGCATATACTGTCCACTAAGACACATATTTCGCATTGCTTGTAACTGGTTACAAAAACTGGTTACCATTTTGTTTTCTTAGATTGCTTCCTGGCATGCTCCTGTATGCTGTGCAACCTCCCTCTCATGCTCCATGTGTTGAGGTGAGGTCAGGGGCGGACTGACAACTCATGGGGCCCCCGGGCAATAGGGGATCATGGGGCCCCTGTGTCCTTGCCCAAACTCAAAAAAGCCTATGAAAGGGGTACCAGGGGCATCTCATGGGGCCCCCTACTGACCCCGGGCCCTCAGGCGGTGCCCGAGTTTCCAAATGGTCAGTTCGCCCCTGGATGAGGTTACAGTGCAGAACATGGTGCCAGAACCAGCAAAGACACCACGCTCCATTTTCAGCAGTTTACATTCAGAGTCCTTATTAGGATGGTTACAAATACAGAGTTTTAGTAAATGGCACAGACAGGTGCAGATGAGAATCCACTTAGAAAGACAGCTGTGTAACATTTCCCTGATTGACTGGAGAACATACCTCTAAAGAGGACTTGTTGTCAGAATAGGAGCTCCCATTACCCGGCTTGTTAAACTTGGTAACAGAAGTCACAATAAGCTACCCAAAGGGGAAATCCTTGCTTCTGGTTATCAAGGACCAAGGCATTTGGTCACATGATCTCTCACCACACCACATTATATTTTGATACCTGGTGACTGGACATATTACATCCATGTTACCATATATGTGCCAATGACTAAGTTTTGGATTAATATCTGTAGGGTTCTTTATTGATATCTGGCACATAAATTGGGTGAAATTTGCTATGGAATATACACTTTAAAGAAACCCACCTATGTATTTTTTTTTAAATCTCCCTCTTGCCTTTTTCATGGGATTAGCTACAACAAAATATGCATTCCTGCGAATCCGCTATTGCTTCATATTAATCTGCTGCTCCGCTGCTGCACACCCTGTCCTGCACTGCCATCTTCTCTATTTCTGTTATCAGCACTAGTCTGTCTTTCCCTGGTTTTTACTGCCACCCCTCAATGATGCACATGAGCTGCGGCACGTCATCACGGAGCTGGCTGCTAGAAACCAGGAATAAGCAGCTGGCCCCGATGATGCGTCGTGGTGCATGCACATATGCAGTGGATCTACCCGAACCCTCCTGGAAAGCATGGAATATTCCAGGAGGAAGTGGGGATACGCCATTCTTGCCTAGGTGAGAAATCTAAAAGTGCTTCCTTTGGTGGTGCAAAGAGAAAAGAAGGAGTCAAGAGCACAAGCAGGGGACCCCAGAAGAGGAGGATCTAGGCCGCTCTGTGCAATTCCATTTCAGTTCATAAAGGTGATTCAGCGAGCGCTAAGATGATGAGAACATAAGCTGCTGATACACTACAAGGAAACCATATAACCTCTTAAATATATACAATATGAAAAAGTGCAGCGCTAATAAACAAATGTGCTATATCAGAGACTGGCCACACCCTCAAATAGACAGTATGAAGTCCATAGGAACAATGTCCGGTAAATGACAAATAGATGAAATGGTGACTTTGTTACTCCCAGTGAGGTACTCGTCAAAACCGTGTAGGAAATATAGGAAATACGCACTCACCAGAAGCGCATTAGGTAAGCGCAATATTAATAGCCAGAGGTCCCCTCTTATCCTGTGGAAGGTGCAGTTCACACTGGACAGGCTGTCCCACAATACTGGCGCCTCGATAGATCTTCTCTACTGGTGGAAGCTGCGATGGGGGTCAGCTTATATGAGTCACTCTCCTCTGGGCACTGCACTTTTTCATATTGTCCATTTCAGTTCAGTTTGTTATTTAAAGTCCATCTCCCAGAACAAAAAAAGTTTTCCCATGCAATGGAGCAGTCTCACACTGCATAGGTTAGCTGTTTGTTTTTGTCTAGGGGAGAGGAGAAAGGAGATATACTTACCTAATCCTCCGATCCTCCCCGTAGAAGACCGGACTTGCACCCCCATGCTCCAGCGGTCTTGAGTTGTGGACTGTTCCTGATGTTGTCAAGCCCACAACAGCCTCCACAGACCAGGAATAGTCCAACACTGGACCGTGGGGGAGCGTCGTTTTGTGGTGGAACAAAGGATCCGTTGAGTATAAGCTTTCTCCTCACCCCTAGACAAAACGAGCAGTTGACCTGTGCAAGGAATCATTTATAGCGAATGTCTATCAATATACTCATTTTGAGTATCAACACTTCTAGTTCTTTATTCTGTATGTAATTGGCATATACTGTTGTTCACTAAGGCTTTGGGAGACATTATAAAATACAGATGTACAATATACTTGAGTAGGTTATCAATATTGGGCCTTGGGTCCCTCCTTTACATATGGGACTGGGTCGAATTAAGTGCTTGACTGGTCGAGTGCATAAAAAATGGTAAGTGGGATTATCATGCTATTCTTAACATTTATAATTGCTATTCTGGATATGTTAATTAGCGCTATGTATATACTAAGAATCATATTGATATGACTTTGTAGATCTACCACCTAATATCTATCACCTGAGGAAGCAGAGTTCACATCTGGGAAACGCGTTGAGAAGTGGTCTCGCCTCTGCAAGTATCGGCTTGATAATAGGACAATCAAATTCAGTAGATATAAATGAATATGGGCCGAGCAGTTGGTCCTTAAGCATCTGTGTACACAGATGTTCTTGAATACTGAAAAGAACATTTATGTAATGACACCTAATCTTGTTGAGTATCAGTTTAAAATTTTTGTAAAGTAACGTGATTAATAAAAAAAAGCCTTTGTCTAGCGGCAGTTAGTAACGTTTAGGTGGACTTGTTCTGTAATGTTGAAAACATTCTACATTTTATCCAAGCCACATCTTCAGTTTCGAATGAGTGTCAGGCAGATTCCCTCACCGGTTTCATGGTATACACTCCATAATGATTGCCAATATGTCTGATGGGTCTCATATATCCAGGTTATGATGGTGTATCTAGTAGTAAATCATGTTCAGCTGGACTGTTTTGTATCTAGTAGTAATCATGTTCAGATGGGACTTCTTCTGTAATGTGGAAGACATTTTGCAGCTTCTCTAAGCAACTTCTTCAGTTCTAATGGGTGTCAAAAGATGTCGGAGCTACCTGCGTGGTGATAGATACACCATGATGGGGACAAACTTGTGGGAATTCCTTGATGTGACTCATTAGAACTGAAGAAGTAGCTTGGAGAAGCTATGAAACCTCTTCAATATTACAGAGCAAGTCCAGATGAATGTGACAACTACCAGATACACCATTACCTGGATATATAAGACCCACAGACAAACTGGTAATGGAATGTTCCTGACAATGTGGCCAACTAATACTAGATACACCAAGACCTAAGAAGTGGCTTAGAGAAGCTATGAAACGTCTTCAACATTACAGAGCAAGTCCAGCTGAATGTGACTACTACTAGATACACCATTACCTGGATATATAAGACCCACAGACAAACTGGAAAGGGAATGTTCCTGACAATGTGGCCAACTACTACTAGATACACCATGACCCGGAGAAGTGGCCTGGAGAAGCTATGAAAGGTCTTCAACATTACAGAGCAAGTCCAGATGAATGTGACTACTACTAGATACACCATTACCTGGATATATAAGACCCACAGACAAACTGGTAAGGGAATGTTCCTGACAATGTGACCAACTAATACTAGATACACCACGACCTGGAGAACCTTCACCATCAATAAAAACCTTTACACTTTTGATTATTTTTGAGGAAATGCTTTGAATAATTGCACCTTTAAGATCCAGTTTCTTGAGTTTGTTGTAAGAATTAACTGGGAATGTTCTGTAGTACTGTTATTGTTAACCAGTAAAAAAAATATGTTCTAAATGGCTTCCTTACCAAGTATAAGTGCATAAGACTTGACTTCTGTGTAATCAACCTTCTGGATTTTTAGTAACTTTATATTAAGGAGAATGTAACAGGAGGAGCTGGAACACAGAATGGTGGATGGAAACACCCAGAACTCCCAGGTGGACAGGAACAGAGTCAGGAACAATGGAGGGGACATCTTGCTATTGGAGTGTCCAAGACACTGAGGTTGACCCAACCCACAAGACTCGATTTATAATTACAATGTTGTTTATGGGTGGACTGACCCAGTGTTTCTCTATATTTCAGCAGAGCATAGCTACCAATCCTTTACAAGCAGGACATAATGCTCTATCCCAGGAGTCTCCTAATTTGCTAAGCAAAGGGCCAGTTTACGGTCCTTCAACCCTTAGAGGGGCCAGACTGTGTCCAGTGGGACTAGAAAATGCCCCGGCATCAGTGTGCAGAAACAATATTCTATCATTGGTTTTATTTGGAGGTTGGTATTGTCGGTATCAATGAGAAAAATAGCGCCATTACTGGTGTCAATGGGAGGAATGGTGTCCCATCATTGGTGTCAGTTGGTGGAATAATGCCCCAAGGGCCAGATAAAGGCAACAAATGGCCACATCCAGGCCCCCGGGTCACAGTTTGGAGACCACTGCTCTATCCGGCTGTTCTGTTAAAATAAAGGTAGGTATATAAGCTGCATCATTGCGATCATGAGATGGCATGGAGATCCACAAATTAGTAGCATTTGCTTCAATGCTAACTCCATCAACAATTAATAACTTTGCTGAAATAAATTGGCAGTCAGCTTCTTCGATCTTTCAGAAACTGATATTTAACTGACGCGTTTTGTCTCTACTCTGTAAATAAAGAGTAGTGGGAACCAAAATGAACAGGATGACTGTTGTAGTTGTCACTAACTGTATTGTACAGCTGGTTCATTATCAATGCACAACTTAATAACACTATCCCCCCGAGCAGAGGGCAGAGCTGTGGGAGGGACCCAGTAGGCTCCACCCACTACAGGCTGCCTACAGAAAACTAAAGGAGGGGCGGAGACAAGACCAGTCACCCTGCACAAGCAGAGAGAGCAGCAGTGACCGGTCTTTTTTTACAGGAAGCTCATACACAGAGCTAAAGTCTCACACTGGATTACTGCACAGATCTGGAAGAAGTACTCAAAGGTCACCGAGATTTAGGTAAGAAGACATATGCTTCTTCTATTTGGACAATCTTTGCTTCTCCTGGACTTTAGCTTTAATCTACATTGAGAATCCATCGTGGGAGTAAAATGCAACACTTAGGTTCTTAAGGCTGCAGCAATCAGGCAGCAATAGGAATTCTGGTCAGCATTTTTTTACCGCGAGAGTCTTGAAGACATATAGGAAGCCAACATCTGACTCAACGTTACAGGACCACGTAAAAGTGAACTATCAGCTTTGGGCAGAATTAGCCCATATTTTCTACAATGACTGTATATTTATTGCAGAAGATTGGCCCTTTGCTTGCCTTTATTTGGCCCTTGGGGCACTATTCTTACCACTGATACGAGACACTATTTAAAACAGGTACTTGTATAGAGCTGTCAGTTTATGCAGTGCTTTACATATCTATTGTACATTTACATCTGCCAACTGACACCAACAATGGAGCACCATTTCTCCCACTGACACCAATGATGGGGCACTATTCCTCCCAAAGATACAACAGGATGGGGGGGGCACTATTCCTCCCAAAGATACACAACCCATGGGGAGACTATTCCTCCCACTGATACAAATGATGGAGCACCATTATTCCCCCACTGATACCAATAATGGGGCACTATTCCTCCCACTAATACCAGTGATGGGGCACTATTCCTCCCACTGATGGGGAACCAATGATGGGGCACTATAACTCCCACTAATACCAATGATGGGGCACTATTCCTCCCACTGACACCAATGATGGGGCACTATAACTCCCACTGATACCAATGATGGGGCACTATTCCTCCCACTGATACCAATGATGGGGCACTATTCCTTCCACTAATACCAATGATGGGGCACTATTCCTCCCAAAGATACAAAGGATGGGGGACTATTCCTCCCACTGATACAAATGATGGAGCACCATTATTCCTCCCACTGATACCAACTAATGGGGCACTATTCCTCCCACTGATACCAATGATGGGGCACTATTCCTCCCACTGATACCAATGATGGGGCACTATTAACTCCCACTAATACCAATGATGGGGCACTATTCCTCCCACTGACACCAATGATGGGGCACTATAACTCCCACTAATACCAATGATGGGGCACTATTCCTCCCACTGATACCAGTGATGGGGCACTATTCCTCCCACTGATACCAATGATGGGGCACTATAACTCCCACTTCCCAATACCAATGATGGGGCACTATTCCTCCCACTGACACCAATGATGGGGCACTATAACTCCCACTGATACCAATGATGGGGCACTATTCCTCCCACTAATATTCCAATGATCAGGGGGGGCTATTCCTTCCACTGATACCAATGATGGGGCACTATTCCTCCCAAAGATACAAAGGATGGGGAGACTATTCCTCCCACTGACACAAATGATGGGGCACCATTATTCCCACTGATACCAATGATGGGGCACTATTCCTCCCCACTGATACCAATGATGGGGGGGCACTATTCCTCCCACTGATACCAATGATGGGGCACTGTTCCTCCCACTGACACCAATGATGGGGCACTATTCCCCCCCACAGATACCAATGATGGGGCACTATTCCTCCCACTGATACCAATGATGGGGGCAGTGTTCCTCCCACTGACACCAATGATGGGGCACTATTCCCCCCCACAGATACCAATGATGGGGCACTATTCACAATAAACTGGCAGTTTGTTCAGGAAGTTTGGAGATCCCTGTCCTAGAAGACAAGCCAGCACTGGAGGATTATCTGCCTTGCTTCCAGTTCTTTTAACTTGCACTCTCAGGAGACCCACAAAAGTGTGGTTTTGCATATCTAACTAACTTATGAAGCCTACGAGCAGCTTCAGTCCAGACATAACCCTGGGCCTATTTACCTTCTTGAATGTATATATATAGTATTATTATTACAGGTACTTACACTCACCGGCCACTTAAGTGCCATTCACTGGATATTTTTTTTTTTTTTTGGACCATTCTCTTTAAACCCTAGAGATGGTTGTGCAGGAAAATCCCAGAACAGCAGTTTCTGAAATACTTAGACCAACCCGTCTGGCACCAACAACGTTCAAAGTCTCTTAAATCCCCTTTCTTCCCCATTCTGATGCTCAGCTTGAACTTCAGAAGTCGTCTTCACCACATCAACATGCCTAAATGCATTGATTTTCTGCCATGTGATTGGCTGATTAGCGATTTGTGTTACCAAGCAATTGAACAGGTGTACCTAATAAACTGTCCGGTAAGTGTATATTGTACCATCAATGTTTTCGCAACGCTTTATACATATATATTATGGATTCACATCAGTCCCCGCCCCCCCGGAGCGTAGAATCTAAGGTCCCTAACTTACATTCATACATACACATACTAGGGACGTTTTAAACAGGGCCTGGAGTATTAACCATACCAGCATGTAGTGTCATGGATTTGAACCGATGTGGGAGGAAACCTGGAGTACCCGGAGGATTTCCCTCAGATGCACAGGGAGAACATGCAAACTGCAGGAAGGAAACTGATCAAATCACCTGTAAAATAATGTGTCATGGTTGGGATTTGAACCGATGACCACTGCCCTAGGGGGAAGTGCTAGCCACTTAGCCACTGTGCTGACCTGTATATAAAAGGCACAGCCAATAAGTTCATAATCCACAAAGCCAAGCCATAGTCAATATTCAATAAACCCATGGTCAATATTATTATTATTATACAGGATTTATATGGCGCCAACAGTTTGCTCTGCGCTTTACAATAAGGGAGACAGTACAATTACAATGCTTTCAGTACAGAAGGAATAGTGAGGGCCCGGCTCATGGAGCTTACAATCTAAAGGAAGGGGGAGGTGATACAAAAGGTGATAGCTGCGGGGGATGATCTGGCGGAGGTGATTCAAGTACAGTTCTTAGGTGGAGGTGGGATAGGCTTCCCTGAATAAGTGAGTTTTCAAAGATCGCCTAAAGGCAGACAGAGTGGGGGCTGACTGGACATGCTGTGGTAGGAAGTTCCAGAGGATAGGAGAGGCTCTGGAGAAGTCCTGGAGGCGAGCGTGGGAGGAGGTGATGAGGGAGCTAGAGAGGAGGATATCATGGGAGGAGCGGAGTGGGTGATTTGGGCGGTATCTGTGGATGAGGTTGGTGATGTAGCTAGGGGCAGTGTTGTGGATGGCTTTGTAAGCTGTGGTTAGTATTTTGAATTTTACACGTTGGGTTAGTGGAAGCCAGTGGAGGGATTGGCAGAGAGGGGCAGCAGTCGCTGATCGGTTGGTGTAAGATGTATGGTTGGTAAGTGTATAGCAGCAGCATTCATAATATGACTGAAGGGGGGATAGAGTCTGCAGCAGTAACGGTTGGTAGTATGAGTCTAGCAACAGTGAGGAGGGAGTTGCAGTAATTGCAGGGGGGGTTATAACCAATATTCAATAAAGCCTGATCGGTCAATATTCAATAAGCAGCCCTGGTCAATTGGTCAATAAAGCCATGGTCAATATTCAATAATCCCTGGTCAATATTCAATAAAGCCCTGATCGGTTGGTCAAGGTATTCAATAAAGCCCTGGTCAATATTCATAAAGCCTGATGGTCAATGGAGACCGTCCCAGCATATACAGAACACACACGGGGGGGATTTTTCCTGTGTAGTTAGACCAGTGAGGAGGGAGTTGCAGTAATCGCGGGGGATATAACCAATATTCAATAAAGCCATGCAATCAATATCAGGGGCAGACTGACAACTCATGGGGCCCCCCGGGCAATAGGGGATCATGGGGCCCCTGTGTCCTTGCCCACACCCAAAAAAGCCTATGAAAAGCCAATGAAAGGTACCAGGGGCATCTCATGGGGCCCCCTACTGACCCCGGGCCCTCAGGCAGTGCTCGAGTGCTCGAATGGTCAGTCCGCCCCTGGTCAATATTCAATAAAGCCCTGGCAATATTCAATAAAGCCATGGTCAATGGAGACCGTCCTCATATACAGAACGCACACGGAACGTTCTTTCCTGAGCACTCTCTCTGAAGCTCCCTGTTTTCTGTGTGGGTTTGGTTCTAGCACACACACCACACACTGCTTTGCCATCAAATGCCAATCATTTTTACAGCTGATATCAGAAAGAAAAACAGAACAAAAAATAACAGTGAAATATGGACGCTTATAAAACTTCAGTAGTGCGTTCCTAAATAATGTCTTAATATTGCATTTAAAAAAAAAAAAAAACTGCCGAAAAAAAAAACTGATAAACACAACTCCCGCTTTACAACTAAAAAATAAAAAAAAAAAAGAAGAAAATGTATCTGATATATTTTCACAAGCGTGAAAACGTTTTGATGTAAACAGCGAGCTGCCACTAACTTGGCTACGACAAAGGCTGCCTTGCCTGGTTTACTGAGAGGAAGAAGCTCGCGGATCAGGTGTCAGACTCATTGTTTGGTTGCCAGAATATATATCCATCCAGTTTTTCTGCTGCTGCTAACTTTTCTTAACAAATCTGACCTCAGAGGAAATTAAACCACTTCAAAAAGAATCTTTTTTTTTTTTCTCCTTAAGACTTGCCCATGTTAGCCAAAGTAGCACCCACAGCTGCAATTCTCCAAACGGTATTTCTTGCGGTTGACTGGCTACAAATGATCAAAGGTTAAATTTTATCTCAGAGGTCAACTGCTTGGTGGCAAAGGTCGTGACCTTAACAACTTAAATGTGGCTTAGGCACGTGCCTACTTTAACTCCTCATCAGGATACAGATTGTCCATCTTTGGAAAAGTCATAAATTTTACTCTTTTTTTCTTCTTATTACTCCCACTAGCAAAAAGAAAAAAAAAAAAAAACCTTGGGAGAGCCATTCGATACATGCAGGGAGAAAGTAGGAAAAAAAAACATAAAATGCTATAAATTTCAGGCCAGGAAAGTTTTACATCTGCCCTTGTTTAAGCAGATAGCAGTTCCTAATTAGTAGTCTTGCCAGGTTTTTTTTTTTTTTTTTTTTTTTTTTTTAATCGTAATTCACGTCCTAACGTTTACTTTGAATTGTTGGCAAGTTTTTAAACTAAAACACATTTGAAATATTCACCATCAGCAGTAGGATATTTAATAACCAAATTCAAACATTATATTTATAGCAAAAAAAAATAAAAATTATAATTGCCTCACATAGAAAAAGAGAAAAAAAATAAGAGGGTGTTGAAAAAAAAATTATAATTGCCTAACATAGAGTACTGCTTAGACCTTGAAGAAGGGGACATACCCCGAAAGCTTGTCCTCAAAATTGTATGTTAGTGCAAATAAAAAAAGTATCAGACAGTACTCAATTGTTCCTAACATAGAAAAAGACAAAAAATAAATAAGAGGGTGCTGAACTTAAAAAAAAGTGTTACCTGCTCCAAAACACTGCAGGCCTGAGCAAAAAAAAATATTTTTAGAATAGTGAAAATAGGAATGAATTATCATTATTGAAGATTTACCTGCTACAAAAAATACCTGGCCTGTTAAAAATATTTAAAAAAATAAAAATAGGTTTTAATTATCATTTTTGAAGAGTTACCTACTCCCAAAAGAAAACCTGGTCTGGTAAAAATATTTTAAAAAAAAATTATAATTGCCTAACACAGAAAAAGACAAAAAAAAAAAAATAAGAGGGTGCTGAACTTAAAAAAAAAGTGTTACCTGCTCCAAAACACTGCAGGTAAAAAAAATGAGCAAAAAAAAATATTTTTAGTATAGTAAAAATAGGAATTAATTATCATTATTGAAGATTTACCTGCTAATAAAAAATACCTGGCCTGGTAAAAATATTTAAAAAAAAGATTTAAAAAAAATAGGTTTTTTAATTATCATTTTTGAAGAGTTACCTACTTCCAAAAGAAAACCTGGTCTGTTAAAAATATTAAAAAATATATATATAATTGCCTAACACAGAAAAAGACAAAAAAACAAAAAATAAGAGGGTGCTGAACTTAAAAAAAAAGTGTTACCTGCTCCAAAACACTGCAGGCCTGAGTAAAAAAAAAATATTTTTAGAAAAGTAAAAATAGGTTTTAATTATCATTTTTGAAGAGTTACCTGCTACAAAAAATACCTGGCCTGTTAAAAAATATTTAAAAAAATAAAAATAGGTTTTAATAATCATTTTTGAAAAGTTACCTACTCCCAAAACAAAAACCTGGTCTGTTAAAAATATTTAAAAAAAAAATTATAATTGCCTAACACAGAAAAAGACAAAAAAACAAAAAATAAGAGGGTGCTGAACTTAAAAAAAAAAGTGTTACCTGCTCCAAAACACTGCAGGCCTGAGTAAAAAAAAATATTTTTAGAAAAGTAAAAATAGGTTTTAATTATCATTTTTGAAGAGTTTCCTGCTACAAAAAATACCTGGCCTGGTAAAAATATTTAAAAAAATAAAAATAGGTTTTAATTATTATTTTTGAAGAGTTACCTACTTCCAAAAGAAAACCTGGTCTGTTAAAAATATTTAAAAAAAAAAAGACAAAAAAATTATAATTGCCTAACACAGAAAAAGACAAAAAAACAAAAAATAAGAGGGTGCTGAACTTAAAAAAAAAAAGTGTTACCTGCTCCAAAACACTGCAGGCCTGAGTAAAAAAAAATATTTTTAGAAAAGTAAAAATAGGTTTTAATTATCATTTTTGAAGAGTTTCCTGCTACAAAAAAATACCTGGCCTGTTAAAAATATTTTAAAAAATAAAAATAGGTTTTAATGATCATTTTTGAAGAGTTACCTACTCCCAAAAGAAAACCTGGTCTGTTAAAAATATTTAAAAAAAAAATTATAATTGCCTAACACAGCAGAAAAAGACAAAAAAAAAAAAATAAGAGGGTGCTGAACTTAAAAAAAAAGTGTTACCTGCTCCAAAACACTGCAGGCCTGAGTAAAAAAAAATATTTTTAGAAAAGTAAAAATAGGTTTTAATTATCATTTTTGAAGAGTTACCTGCTACAAAAAAATACCTGGCCTGGTAAAAATATTTAAAAAAATAAAAATAGGTTTTAATGATCATTTTTGAAGAGTTACCTACTCCCAAAACAAAAACCTGGTCTGTTAAAAAAATTTAAAAAATGTTAAATAGGGTTTAATTATCATTATTAAAGAGTTACCTGCTCCAAAAAAAATACTTGGTCTGCTAAAAATATATAAAGAAAAATAAAAATAGATTATAAGCTCCCAGGATCAGGGCCCTCCTATCCCTCTTGTATTGAACTGTATTGTTGCTGTATTGTCTCCCGTTATATTGTAAAGCGCTGAGCAAACTGTTGGCGCCATATAAATCCTGTATAATAATAATAAATACACCACTGTACATGGGAGCCAATCAGCTTCTAACTTCAGCTTGTTCAATTAAGCTTTGACAAAAAAGAAATGGAAGCTGATTGGTTTCTACGCAGAAGTGCACCAGATTTTGCATTCTCTGGGTTTAGTAAATCAACCCTATTGAAAACCTCCATAAACAGAATAATACACCCACAGCAGATCCGGAAGAAGGCGAAAAAAAAAATCACTGAAGGCACGGTCTGATTATAAAAAGTAATCTGGTACAACACTGAAAGATAAAGCAATATTGGCAAAATCTGAAGTCTGTGTAGACCTGTTTCATAGCAAAGGACCTTCCAATGGAGAAATTCTCCACCACTGACAATCTTTCTGTAGCTTTATTGGCTATAAAGTATTAAATACAAAAAGATTAAATTGCTAACACCGCTAGAAAGAAAAATTCTCAGAACAAAAAGAGTATATGATATATGGGGGGATTTACTAAAACTGGAGATTGCAAAATCTGGTGCAGTTCTGCATGGGAGCCAATCAGCTTCTAACTTCAGCTTGTTCAATTAAGCTTTGACAAAAAAGAAATGGAAGCTGATTGGTTTCTATGCAGAGCTGCACCAGATTTTGCATTCTCTGGGTTTAGTAAATCAACCCTATTGAAAACCTCCATAAACAGAATCATACGCCCACAGTAGATCCAGGAGAAGGCAATAAAAAAAAAACACTGAAGGCACGGTCCGATTTCAAAAAGTAATCTGGTACAACACTGAAAGATAAAGCAATTTTGGCAAAATTTTAACTCTATGGCAAAGCCCGCCTATGTAGACCTTCCAATAGAGAAATGTTCCACTTGCATGGACATTTGGCGTTTTATATTGTAGGCCTGTAATTCTTAGGAATAACTCACTGAAATCTGTCTGAACAAGAGTCTAGTAAACATCCCGGGTATGATAAAACTTGAAACACGAAATCATAAATTATAATTTAATAAATAATCATAAAAAAGAATAATATAATAATAATACAAATTTAATTCAATAATATAATCAAACCAAAAACACTAAAATGTGAAATATAGCGCCAAGTTCGCACATCGCTGAGCAAAGTCGCAGAATCGTTTTCAGTGTCTGATGAGGAATTTCCCCCACGAATCATTATCACTCAATTCTGCAAGTGGTTCTGATTTACTATCGCTGTTCTCTAGCCGGTCTAAAACCGCGTCTGACCTAAAGGGACGCTTTTTGGACGCCATGGACGTTTCTCAGTTTCCAGGCAATAAGAACAGTAAAAATGCAGGCAGGGCGCCGGACAAAGCACTCAGGACAACATGTATGTGAAATGGTTTGATACAGGAATGTTATACTATGTGATTTTAGTGTATTTAGTGAATGTCACTTTTTGTCATTTTCAAATTTCCCGCTAGTTCCGTCCCCCATACGTCCCGACGTCGCAGGGAACGGAACCCGGAAGACAGATGCCGGCATTCGCCGGATTACATTGCCGGGGACACTGCAGGAGGGACATCGCGGGAGCGCAGGACAAGGTAAGTGATCGAGGGATCCTGGAGCAGGGCGCATGGTAAGCCCGAGTGTAGCTCGGGATTACCGCTTGTGATACTGAAACTTTACCCCGAGCTACACTCAGGAATACCGCCAGGGAGGTTATATAAAAAAAGTCTAAATTTAAAAATATCACACCGCTAGAAAGAAAAATTCTCAGAACAAAAAGCGTATATGATATATGGGGAGATTTACTAAAACTGGAGATTACAAAATCTGGTGCAGCTCTGCATGGGAGCCAATCAGCTTCTAACAGATAAACTTTGACAATAAAACCTGGAAGCTGATTGGTTTCTATGCAAAGCTGCATCAAATTTTGTAATCTCCAGTTTTAGTAAATCCCACCATATATCATATACTCTTTTTGTTCTGAGAATTTTTCTTTCTAGCGGTGTGATATTTTTGTTAGCAATTTAGTATTTTTTTATTATAAATTTAATACTTTATATCCAATACAGCTTCAGAAAGATTGCCAGCGGTGGAACATTTCTCTATTGGTCCTTTGCTATTTTGGTGGATCTCAATGCAATAAACCGAATGGAAAGCCCTGCCGGTGTGCTGGTGGACTAGCGGTTAAATTAGACTGACAAATGACAGGCGATGGGTACTAGCTGGTATTAAGTACTTTATAAGGCCTGGGCACCGAATGGTTCAAGCACCATGGAATACATTGCCGTTCAATCATCCAACCTACTTCGACAAAGGCTGTGGCCTACATACCGAACCCAACCAACTCGGCCCCCAAACTCCAATAAGATAAGCTGTTCGGCTTTCCGCTCAGAGTATATATTTATTAAAAACTGGGGCGGGCTATGTACGTGCTTTCCCCTGCATTAGAATTATGATTAATTACATTACACTTAACAGTGGATTAAGCCTCTAAAATGTCAGCGGATTTTCCTGCGTTGCGAAAAAAAAAAAAAAAAAAAAAGAAGCACAGTCCAAACTTTTGTTTACACAAGTCTGTCCTGAAATGTCTCCTGTTCCGCAGGCCAACAATGAGGCAACACCGTTTGGCGACAAACTAGCATGCAGGACGACACTAGCGCACGTCATACAGCAACGTAGATGAGAGACGGGGACGATGCAAAAGTCAACCAGAAGATCATTTTTTGTCTTTTTTTTTTAATCACGCACCAAGTTTAAACTGCAGCCATCAATGATGTCACGTCTTTCATTCATTTACAAATTGCGGTGAACCTTGCGTCATGAGCTCTGGATACTGATACCCCGTGTTTTCCCCTTAATTAGTGTCGGCTGTCCCCTAACTATACAAGAGCAGAATTTAAGGCCAAAATAAACAGTATATATTTTTTGTAAAGGGAATTAATTGTTGGTGATCTACTTATATTTACTAAAATACATCATACACCGAAGAGGTGGCTACAAATGTGCATGGAGGACAGGACTGGAAAAATTGTGCTCCAAGACCATATTGGGTTAAGGTCAGCTAAAATAAAGACTTTCTTCAAACCTAACTGGCTGCTTCAAAAACACGGGTTCACTGTTATGGCAAAACTTTTCATAAAGGAGATCTATAACTCAAGAGCTATCTCACCAATCCGGCTGATTGACATCATGAGTAATTGGGACAAAACATAATGTATCTTTCGCAGAAGAACCAACGACTATGCTCCCTCCAGAGGCCAGTCATATGACCAATGCCAAGCCACGTTGATGGGGAGGATCAATGTTTAGGCAAGACTACAGGTAGGTTAGCTCTGCCTAAACCAGAGCTGGACGAATCACCAAGTATCCAATGCTCCTCAAAAAGTTACAGATGGGGCCTAACTTTTTGAAGGTTTCTCTAGTTGTTGTCAATGGAGCTGACACCTGGATTGGACAAACTGGCTTCTGAGTTCATTTGTCCACCCCTGGCCTCAAAGCCAGTTACTCAAATTGTGGCCACCTAACCACCGCCACAGCAAAGGCCACCTGACCATCTTCTGGAGGACACAAGAGCCCTGCTTTCTCAGGAGAAGTTCAGTTCTCCACACCACCAATAACCATTTACAAAAATTGGTTGATTTTTGAATGCAGATCCTCAAATTATAAAAAGGCAAGAGAAAAGAGTACCAAATTCCTGGCACATGCCTTGAACTTAGGTCAACCTAAAAATTTGTTGATTTTTGGAATGCAGATCCTCTTTTTATAACCTCAAGTTATAAAAAGCAAAGGAAGAGAGAACCAAATTCCTGGTACACTTAGGTCAACCTAAAAAGTTTTCTGTTGCCACTACCAACACGCCAAAAATAAATGGAATACAAAAAAACAAAAACAGCAACTGAATGTTCAACAAGATAAAAGTGCCACTTACCTGCTGAGTGTACAAAGTAAGCCAAATACAAATCAAGTTCCTTCACAGAAACTCCTATGTGGTGGGGCTGAACACAAAGCCCAGGGTTAGAACACTGCGGAGACTTAACAAGGCGTTCACCATCAGTACTTTCGAGAGGGATTCCTTTAAATAAAATCACCATCACTAGGTCTAGTCTCCAGACCTTGTCCGCCTGGCGAAGGCAGTCAATTCTTCTCATTTTTCCCTTCTGGTCGGGGTTAGACAGAACGCAACACGCAGGTTTTTTACCGGTCACGGTGAGTACAAAATCCTCTCGATATTCCGGCCTGATATCTTTCCTCAACTTTGCCAGGAGACGGGACGCCCATTTCTGCTTGACTTCAGGTTTTTCACTCAGCAGCTCATCCTTCACGGCCCTTTCTTCCTCTTTCGACATGCGCTTTTCGTGCTTCTTGAAGTATTTTCGTTTTCGGGCTTGCAGGTTGAACCATGTGTAGGCAAAAGCACGGACGTGAGGCAGAAGTGCTTCGATAAAGGGATGGAATTCATCCTGCAAACAGGCAAAGAAAAAAAAAAAAAAGAGAGAGAGAGGAATTGATGTGAAAACTAAAAACTTTTTAAAAACCTGGGGATGAAAACAAGTACTTTTTTACCGGTTAGGACAAATACGAGCAAATATTTATGTGCTAAAATTACAGAGAACCCGCAATCAGAGGAAGTATTTCCTGTAAAAATATCACTTCTAGGCCCATTTTCCGTGTGACAATAAAAAAAAAAAGGTGATTTCAGGACTTAGAGGCCGGCTAAGTGGTGACAAGCAGGCGTCGGGTTTTTTATCCACGTCCGTTTCTTTTGTTAATTGTACACAAAGACCCAGCACTTCCTTTTCACCCCAGCAAATGCATGAACATCAATATTTAAAAGTGGAATCGCAGGCAAGAGTCGAGGGCAAAAAAAAGGAGTTTACACCCACAAATGGACAAGGCTGCAGAAGTTTAATTTTTGCTGCTAACTTTTTTTTTTTAATTATAAACAGAGCTCGGGAACACACGTGTCTCTACATACTAGTACAACTTGGCAAGGCTACAACCTTCAATGACCGCTTGATGAATTTGCACTCAAGGATCAGGAAAAAGGAATATATCGATATGTATATAAAAAAGGCAGATAAAAATATTGAGAAAGATATAACAAAAAAAGTATAAAGGGGGATGACCAAATTCTACAATACCTCTAAAAAAAGTCCATCTTAAACACACTCAGGGAAAAAAAAAAAAAAAAAAAAAAATAAATTTTATAGGAAAGCTTCATTTTAAATATATATAAATTTAAAAAAAAATCTGCACCATTAAAAAAAAACTTGACAAAAAATTAAATATTGGGCCTATACTGATACATATCCATTTATAGTGCACTAGTAATGGAACCGAACTGCCAAAAATAAACGTAAATCAAAACGAAAACTTGAGGCCGTTATACTTAGAAGCTTGCAATCTAATATTATTATACAAAATGTATATAGCGCCGACAGTTTGCACAGCGCTTTGCAAAATCTAGAGGGTTACAAACTCTTAATTAAGACTTACATTTTTTATAATATTCAACGAAGCATTACAATTTTCCGGACCTACTGCAATCTACAAGTACTTAGGAGCTTGCAATCTATTATTATTATATATTATAATTATATATTGAATATTGGGCCTACACCAATACCTATCAATGTATAGTGCATTAGTAATGGAGATTGAATGCCAAAGAATGAACATAGTTTTGGCCGTTGTACTCAGGAGCTTGCAATCTTCTGTTTTTATAATCTAAGAATTATAGAGCGCCAACAGTTTGCACAGTGCTTTGCAAAATCTAAGGGTTTACAAACTCTTCATTCAGGCTACAATTTGTATAAAATATTCAAAAGAAGCCTCCCGAGCATTACAATTTTCCGGAAGCACTGCAATCTACAAGTACTTAGGAGCTTGCAATCTATTATTACAAATATACAAGATTTATATAGCGTGAACAGTTTGCACAGCCCTTTAAAAATCTATGCGTTATAAGGACATACAAACTCATCATTCAGGTTCTATTTTTTTTAAATAAAATAATAAAAGACGCTTCCTGAGCATTTCAATTTTCAGGACCTACCGCAATGTACAAGTACTTTTCATTTTTCACCTGCCTTTCAAGCAAAGGTGCTACAAGATTCTAGACCTTCAAGTTTGGCTGCATTAAAAAAAAAAAAAAGTTTGCAGAACATATGTGACAAATCATCAACTATTTATAAACCTGGGGCGGGTGAAAAAGTTTGAGCATTTGTTATGTGTCAGAATTCTGCTGTTTAGGTAAGAAAGAAGAAAAATATTGCCACTTTCACAGCTATCGTTTACAGGTTGACAGGAGCACAAAGTTAAAAACAAAACAAAAAAAAAAACAACAGGTTACAGGCTGACAGGAACACAAAGTAAAAAAAAAAAAACCAAAAGGTTAAAAAAAGAAAAAAAAAAAAAACAATAACAGGTTCAAGGTTGACCCAGACACAAAGTAGAAAATAAAAACGTTAAAAGAAAAAAGAAAGAGTACAACAGGTTACAGGTTGACACAAACACAAAGTTAAAAAAAAAACCAACACCAATTCAAAAAAATAAATACAAAAGAGCTACAGATTATAATCTCCTAGATTGTAAACTCCAAGGATCAGGGCCTGAGTAAAAAAAAAATATTTTTGAAAAGTAAAAATAGGTTTTAATGATCATTTTTGAAGAGTTACCTGCTACAAAAAATACCTGGCCTGTTAAAAATATTTAAAAAAATTTAAAATAGGTTTTAATGATCATTTTTGAAGAGTTACCTACTCCCAAAATAAAAACCTGGTCAGTTAAAAATATTTAAAAAATGTGAAATAGGGTTTAATTATCATTATTAAAGAGTTACTTGCTCCAAAAAAATACTTGGTCTGCTAAAAGTATATAAAAAAAAAATAAAAATAGATTGTAAGCTCCAAGGATCAGGGCCCTCCTATCCCTCTTGTATATGAACTGTATTGTTGCTGTATTGTCTCCCGTTATATTGTAAAGCGCTGAGCAAACTGTTGGCGCCATAAAATCCTGTATAATAATAATAATAATATATAAAATCCTGTATAATAATAATAATAATAATATATAAATCCTGTATATAATAATATAATATAATCCTGTATAATAATAATAATAATATATATAAATCCTGTATAATAATAATAATAATATAAATCCTGTATAATATAATATATAAATCCTGTATAATAATAATAATAATAATATATAAAATCCTGTATAATAATAATAATATATAAATCCTGTATAATAATAATAATAATAATATAAAATCCTGTATAATAATAATAATTACATAATTACAATAAATATATAAATATCAAATACATATGTAATGGAACTGACGGTGCTTGATTCATTTTTTTTTCAAGCATAGTAAATTATGTGCTAGTTTAACTAATCTAAGGAAAAAACAATTTGCAGAAATACAAAAAAAAAAAAAAAACCCTCAAGCAATTTTTTTTATTGTGGGTTCTGATAAAGGGCCTTAATCACTGCCAGCTATGTATAAAAGGAAGCACATTTTATATTTGGCTTGCAAAGAGATTAAAAAAAAAGTATACATTTTAGCCCGGACATTAATTATTCAGGAGCTATGGCTAGACTACGGTGCAAGCTCGGTTTCAAGCAGCATTTAAAAATATCTGCAAAAAAATCACAACAATTCACAAGGGTGAAGACCGGCAAGGCACACCACCTCCCACGACCTAAAGAGAAGTTTGCATATTCCATTTGCTCAGCAAACTTTCACTCTCTCTCTCGACGTGAAAGTTTGGAGACAACAATATACCGGCCCCAAAGTGAACACGGCAAGGCCCATATAATCCACACTGCACTACCAGGGAGCCTTTCCTCTCCTGTTCCCGCATTTTTCCAGCACGAATATCCAGCTTACAACAAAAATACCGCAACGTAAGTGACAGTAAAACATCACCTTACTTTATTTTTTGAAAAGTAGCCCAAAATAATCAATTAAAGCAGAGAGCTGTACTTTCTAAGGCTGCGTTCTTGCAAGTCTATGGGAAGGAGTTTGGGGTCTGAAAAGGTTTGCAGACTTTACCTATACCGGGGGAAAAAAAAAATCTCAGCATTAACCCAGCCAGTGCCAAAATGCTTTCCTGCTAATATAGCAAAGGAGGAAAACTGGGGCATAATTCAACAAAAAAAAAAAATGAAAAATGAAAAAATGATCATAGAGAACTTTCAATCCCTAATGATAAAGCTACGTATCAATAATCAATGCCAATCGGTAATCAATTTAGACTTGGACCTTTTGTACTAAATCATCACGGCCGTCATAAAAATTAAAACGCTAACAGCATATCAACATTCGCATAAAATAATAAAAGGTTATATAAGGTCAAAATTTCAGGTTCCATAAAATACATATAAATCAACACTTTAAAAAGGCGAGATGTAGGACGCCCGGCACCCGAGTTCTGTTCAAAATTAGATTCAATTAAAGTTCACCCCGCAATTAACATATTAAAACATGATAAAAAATTAAAAAATATATATATATATAAAATAAAAATAAATAAATAAATGCACATTGTATACATGACCCTGGAGGACAACCCTTATATTTTGTATTTTTTCCCGATAATTAAAAAAAAAACAAAAAAAAACAAAAAATGCCACATCCAGCATATGACCCATGTGCTTCATTTTTTTTCTACAGACACGTCTGCGATACTGTCAGGCCTACAAATCCCAGCAAGCAAAGCATACGTTATGCTGGGCAATCACCATGTTTTGCAACGCGGCCGTTGCAAAAAAAAAAAAAAAAAAAACCACAAGACATTTAATCCCGTAAAAAAAAAATACAAATAATAATGATTCAAATTTTTTTTTTAAAAAATCTTCACCGGCTTGCTGGCTGCAGACATGTTATCACTTTCTGTAGATTTTGGCAAGCAAGTCCTACTTTCCAAAGTGCCATTTTTTTTTTTTTTTTTAATTACAGGTTGGCGAAATAATTTGTGTCACACACCCCTCCAACCCAAAGGCTACGACTCCGCTGGAGAAGTGATAAGGCAACGGATTCCCGTCCCAAAAGAATGCGAAGGAACAACAGGCAATAACGTAAGAGAGAAGTGCACAGTACCCAGACACTTGGCGCTGGCCAGGCGGAGGTGACCGGTGGCAAGCCTCTAGATCCAGGAAGGAGTGTGAAGGGTCGCTCGGCCAAAGCCACTTCCACCTCACCTCCTGTGCCCGCTGCCAAGCCAAGTGCCATGAGGCCCCCCTCCCCCAGCACCCGCCTGAAGTAGAGGAGACACTACCACAGGTCTTGTTCCGCACAAGGTGAGATCTGCTTGGTAGAAAAAGTTGCACGTGGATGTCATCCCCCTTGGGTGGTAGTCGGCGACTAGAGGGGAGAGAGACGGCTCTGTACTGGCCCCGAGAACATAGACACGGCACGGCCAGGACGGCCCCCACACGCACACACACACAC